ATAGAAAATAGATAGGGGGGAGGGTAAGAATAGCAGGGGAAATACAGAATCTAAAGAATTTGAGACACGTGTTCATGAACTAAAGGAGGAAATGATGGGGGAGGGGTATGCAGGGTGGAGGGGAATGGAGGGGGGAATAGAGCAAATGTAATGGCATAATCAATAAAAAAAGTTAAAAAAGAAAAGAAAAGAAAAAATGAGGACAGACTTGGGAACCTCCAGAACATCTTTAATCATTCCAACATCCAAATTACAGAGATACCAGGAGGGGAAGAGGAAGAGCAACAAGTGGATAACTTATTTGAACAAATAATAAAGGAGAATGTCCCCAATCTGGCAAATGAAATAGACTTCCAGGAAGTCCAGGAAACTCAGAGTCCCAAAGAAGGTGGACCCAAGGAGAAACACACCAAGGCACATCATAATTACATTACCCAAGATTAAAATGAAGGAGAGAATCCTAGAAGCAGCAAGAGATAAGGGGACAGTCACCTACAAAGGAGTTTCCATCAGACTGTCAGCTGATTTATCAAAAGAGACCTTATAGGCAAGAAGGGGCTGGAAAGAAGTATTCTAAGTCATGAAAGGCAAGGACCTACATCCAAGATTGCTCTATCCAGCAAAGCTTTCATTTAGAATGGAAGGGCAGATAAAGTGCTTTTCAGATAAGGTCAGGTTAAAGGAGTTCATCATCACCAAGCCCTTATTATATGAAATGTTAAAGGGACTTATCTAGAAAAAAGATTAAAAATATGTACAGTAAAATGACAGCAAACTCACAATTATTAATAACCACACCTAAAACAAAAACAAAAGCAAACTAAGCAAACAACTACAACAGGAACAGAACTACAGAGATGGAGATCACATGGAAGGTTAGCAACAGGGGAGTGGGAGAGGGAGAAAGAGGGAAAAGGTACAGAGAATGAATAGCATAGATGGTAGGTGGAAAATAGACAAGGGGAGTGTAAGAATAGTATGACAAATGTAGAAGCTAAAGAACTTACAAGCATAACACATGGACATGAACTAAAGAGGGGGAATGTGGGTGAGAAAGGGTGTGCAGGGTGGAGGGGAGTGAAGAGGGGAAAATGGGATAACTGTATTAGCATAATCAATTATATTATATATATATATATATATATATATATCTGTATTACTGTATTAGCATAATACAGTATTAGCATAATCAATTATATATATAATTGATTATGCTAATACTGTATTATGCTAATACAGTAATACAGGTATATATATATATACCTGAAACTGTAACAGAGTTTCAGGGTGACTATGTGCTCAGGCTCCCCAGTTCTATTTAATGATGTGTAGAAAACATGGTTTTGTTCACTCAACAATATTTAGATCTCTGTTTTGAGCAGTTGTCCCAAAAACAGACTCCCTTTTTCCACCAGATATTTAATTCCAGGGGACTTGTCACTCTCTCTTGCCACTGGGTCTTGATTTAAATCTGTTCTGTTCCTGAATAGCAGCGTACAGTGGTTTCAGATACTCTTTCTCAAAGGCCCTGTGTTCATTGCAAATTACTCATGCAAATGTGACTAACCTGCAAACCAGCATTGGTAAGCCCCTTCCCACCCTTCTTCATGTTCCTAATACACCCCTTCCCAGTGCCATTAGACCATAGTAGCAAAGTGACTCTTCACAGATTTTTTTACTTAAATGGACAAAACATCTGTGCCCCATCAATTTATTTTTTCTTTCAGTTTTATTGAGATGTAACTTATATACAGCACTGTATAAGTTAAAGGTATACAGCATAGTGACTTGGCTTACACTTATTATTAAATGATTACCACAATCAGTTTGGTTAATATCCAACACCCCATATAGATACAAAAAGAAAAAGAAAAAATAGTTTTTTCTTTGTGATGAGAAGTTTTAGAATTTACTCAACTTCCAAATATGCCACACACCAGCGGTAACTATACTCATAATGTTGCAAATTGTACTTCCACTACTTATTTTCTTATAGCTGGAAATTTGTAGCATTTATACCCCAATAATTTAAAATGTCTGTGATTTATGATAATTCATTCTATCCACTCAAGAGAGTGTTCCAAGATTTCTACTAAGCTCATTTTTTAATGCTATAGGAACTTTACAGTAGATTTGTGTTTGCCCTTCAATATCTGGCTCTTTGTGTGATCTGGTTCTCTTATTCCTTCATCACCTTTATCCCCCAAACCTGCCTTAGGATCACTTAAACCACCTCTCCTGGGCTTGACCATTTTGTGAGAAATAGTGGTTCTCACAACCTCTCTCCTTAGAACCAGTGCAGAAATCCGAACTTAAGTATGTAGCTTGTCTGTTCTTTGTATTTAGGGTTCTACTAGTGTGGAACTTGACATCCATGGCAAACACTATTTGTCAAGTTTTTATTTAGTCACTTCAACATCTTTTACTGAGCCCCTCAGTAGACCACAATTTTGCTAATCACTATGAGAAATGACAACTGGTGAGTTGGTCTCTACATCCTTTAGGAAACGCTACAACAAGTTGGTCATTTCTAATCCTGTGTATACCCAGTTTGAGTAAACTTCTCATAATTATGTTGCCATTTGAAATGGGAGAAGCCAAGCTAACAGACTCCTCATTGAGTCCCTTCTGGGTGCTGCACCTGGGTGAAAGTGCAGCAGAGTTAAAGTCCTCTTTCTCTAACCAACAGAGTGCACCAAATGTTTGAAACTAGTACCTGACCATGTGTATCATATTTTTGTGAATTTTATTTTTTATGCTAGATTTTAAAAAAATTCATTGTTATAATGATCCACAGAAAGCTTTTATGAAAGTTAAAAATTATCATGCATAGACACTGATAGTTTGCAAGTGCTCAGAAAATTTGATCTTTTCATTTCATTATGGTTACTATTATTATTGTCAGTGTATGAGGACACTGATATTATTAGTATCATTTTAGACAATCAGTGTTGAAGATGGCCATTCTGTCCTCTAGGGACAACAGGAAGGTAGTGGTGGAAAAAACTCTTCCAGCATCCAGGAGATGGATAGAAGCCCTACTAGATAATTCTTTTGTGTTTTTTTAAGACAAATATCAAGATACACCTGTGACTCTGGCTTGAGGAAATGAGAGCAAAGCCCAAGTGGGTAAGAGTATTAAGAGCTCCTTCTTATGGGCAAATGGGTGTCATTTTCTTTCCTGCTGTTATTGAGTGTGGCTTTGAAGAATCTAGAGCCCACACCAGCAGTTGAGTTGCCATCACTTTATCTAATTGCTAGTGCAGGACAGTGAATCTCTATTCTGGCTGCCAACTTAATGCTAAATTCTTTCCTAGTTATGAAAGCTGCCCCTGTGACATTACATCATATCGCTTCACCTACTTGCACTGGAGGACTTGACTGTCTCCAGTTCCCTGGGAGGCAGTGTGCACTGCAGGATGCTATTACAGCTGCCCCTCACCCAGTCACAGGCTTTCAGACTTAACCAAGAGGAACTGTGCTGTCTTAACTCCTTTCTCCCTGCCCTAAACCCTCCCATTAAAACTCTGCTTTGAGATACTCAGGCTCAGCTCTGGGACTCTTTGTCAGCTGGATCCCTCTGAATTTGCACCCACAGAGAGCAACAGATAAAAACTGGAAGGTTGAAACATACAAGGGAGTACTTGTTCTTTCCTGTCTGTCCCTGTCTTGTCAGTATCCCTTAGCAATGACTCATGGCACTGGCTCTCTGGGATTTGCTGGTTGATTGGTTGCATGGTTAGCTGAATGGGTTTGGGGTTTGGGTTGGGTTTGGGTTTGAGTTTTAGAACTCCCGGGATCAAATCAGCCTCACTGAACTCCCTCAGATGTACCAATGGCAGCAGGATCAAGTCCTCTCCTCAGAGGTCTTAGCTCTAAGAGTACCTCCTCTGAGTTCCTGTGATATGAGTACCAGTTAGAGTCAGAACTCATCCTCAGAGTAGTGCAACCCAGTTAGTTCAATGGGTTCTATGTTCTAAAGACCCAGTGTCTTCCCAAGTGTAAGGTTCTTCCTGCAGTTACTGTCTCTGTGTTACCGCATCTCCTCCTCCTTTGTCATTTTACGTCTCCAATACACTTTTAACCAATTGATTACATTATATTTTCTAAAAATAATGATGCACTATATTTTCTCCTGGCTTGCCCACTGTTATCCAGAAACCCGACACTGTCCCATGCCTTTTCACATTCAGCTAGAGCTCTGGGACAGAGTCAGCAGATCAAATGAGACTTCATTTTCAATTCAATGCATGTGTAGCTCAAACATAAAGAGGAAATGGCCAACCCACTGTTCTCGTCAGTTTCTTCATTTTCCACCCCATTGGTATCCTCTCTCTCCACCCGTATCCTCATTTTCCAGACTCCCTAAAGGTGACAAGATTATGCAGGATAGAATAGGAAGCTGCTATTGCTTTATATTATTATAAACACCCTTCTCTTGAGGTCCTGCAGTTGCTTTGTTGGGTAAGACTCTGTCTTATCTAAGAACACACTGGCTCTCAAAGAGGTAGATATAGGTAGGAAATACATGTAGAGAGCCAGAAGGACAGTCCCAGGTCAAAGGAGAGTAGGATGGAAGCCTGGTCTTCAGCTTCAACTGTACTTGAAGAAGCATTTCTGTAGACAGCACCTAGACTCTGTAGCCTGGAATTTTATCTCTATTGATTTCCAGACATGTGATCTTTGTTGGTCACCTCTCTTTAAAAGCATTTTTTTTACTATGTTAACTGTAAGTCATGATACCTGCTGGGATGTTGTAAAGATTAAATTACTTAAATATAATTGCCAGGGTTCAAAGCAGTTACTCAAGAAATATGAGTTTCTCCCTCTTGCCTACCTTCATCTGAACAAGGCAAAGAGAATAAAGGAAGGTATCTGGGTCAGTAATGAAGTGAGCCTCCCTGCATATAGTAAATATTCACAGGCATTTCTCTATCTTGCTGACTAGGTAAAAATTACTGAGGAGGAAAGAGAAAGAAATTAGAAACCTTTCTACATATTCACATTGCTCTCTGGAGCAATTTCTGAATTCCTTGTTTTATCTCTTTGGTCCGAACCCCATATACAATAGGGTTCAAGGCAGGGGGTATGAGGTGATGAAGGACATTGAGCAGGATCAGGATGTCCATGGGAACCCTCTTTCTGGCCACATTCGTCAACACCACAACCAGCAGGATGGTGCTGAAGAACAGGATGAGGATGAAGTGAGAACCACATGTGCTCAAGGCTTTGACTGCAGCCCCCTCAGCCTTGAATCTAAGTACAGTTCTTAGGATGAAGGTGTAGGAGAGAAAGATGAGAATGAAATCTGATCCCAGTAAGGTCCAACCAGCTACAAATTGGTAGATTCTGTTTAGGGTGAAATTGTCACAGGAGAGCCTAGACACAGAAAGGTTGGCACAGATACAATTCTCAATGACATTTTTTCCACAGTAATGGAGCCGGGCAGTCAGAATAGGAATGGGTGCACTGAAAAGGGCATTTCGTATGACAATGAAGACACTAGCCTTGGCCACAAATTGGCTAGTGATGATGGATGAGTATCGTAGTGGGTGGCAGATGGCCACATAGCGGTCATAGGCCATGACCATGAATGTGCAAGACTCCATGGGGAGGAAACTGTTCATGATGAACATCTGGAGGAAGCAGGCAGAGAAGCTGATGGACCTGAGGTCAAACCAGAAGATGGCCAGGACCTTGGGGATGACAGTGAGGCAGAGCACAATGTCCAGCAGGGAGAGGAGGCTGAGCAGGTAGTACATGGGCTCATGCAGAGAAGCCTCCAGCCAGATTGTGATCAGAAGGGTGGCATTGGCCCCCATGGCCAGGAGGAAGAGGAGGCTGAGGGGCAGGGACAGCCAGTGCTGCCAACTCTGGTAGTTAGGGAAGCAGATGAGGAGGAATTCAGAGACTGGAGCAGTAGAGCAGTTGCTGGGTGAAGTCATTGAATGACCTGAGCTCAGAAGGCTTCTCTTAACTATTTACAGGCAGATAAAAGATAATTTTTTAAATTGACTTCAAAAGTATCCCTTTCACTTACAGTTTAATAAGCTAATTATATGCAGGAGACTTTCCAAGTATAGTAAATTCCAGTCAATAATTTATTTTATTTTTAGTGCAATAAGCAGGAATGTTTAATATTTAAAATGCTATCTGTACATTCACGTAGATATTATTTTGGAAATACATCATATACCTTAGACAAAGAGTGAGTACCTTGAAAGAAGGGTGAAGACAGAGTACCCTTTTGAGAGATCGGAATATAGAAAAATAGGTATGACACTTCCTTCCAAAACTTTTTTCTTTTTCCTTTTGGTACAGTGGTGAGACTTGAGGAATAATGCTATGGTTTATGAAGAAAAACGAATTGATGAAAAATAGATTAAAAAGTGGATAATAAGGAATAACCTCACAACATTAAAAAATTGTAACAAGTTAGGTCAATACAGTACAAGTATAAGAAAAGCAGTATTAGTAGTATAAAGGAGATAGGCAAAAAACACAACCTCTTTTTACAATATTCTCATATATAATGAAGGGGGCATCTAACCTTACAGTGAACAAGAAGTTTTTTTAATGGGTGTTGTTTTAAATCTTTTAATAGGTATTTTGAGATAACTGTTGACATTTCAGGGGGGACATCTATGTAGGTCCTTACCTACTACCATATACCAATATAAGTCAAGATGGATAGTTTTCCCCAACTCATGGCATTCTAGAATAGAACAGACTATATAATTGATTAAATCCATCATTTGCTAGAATACTGATTCTATTTGAAAATAATCATTTACTTCTTAAGACCTGCACCTGACTATTCCAGTCCTCTTGAAATAAGCCTAAAACAACAGGAAAGGTTGATTTTACTATAAGTTTATAGTTACCAACTTTAAATGAGCCTTCAATATTTCCTGTCGAACCTACAAAGCTTTCCTGATCAATTCTTCCTTTTTGCCAAGTCCTTTTTTAAAAACTTAATTCTTTGTAGTCCTTGAATTCTTCCCTTGGAAGGTAATATGAACTATTACTTCACAGATAAAAGAGAGTGTGTCAGTGAGATTTTCTTTAACTTCCCAAGATAAAACTTACAAATCTACCTTTACATTGTCAGATCCTTTCCTTGTTTACTCCCATTAAAATAGAATCTGTCCATCCTCAAAATGTCAAACTATTAGCATAGGTAGCTAGTTATTAATAAATAAATGGAGCAAAAATAATCAGACATTATTAAGCCTAATAAACTAGGGAGCTGAATTGGACAATAAGCCTACTACACTAGAAATTTGCAGCATTCATAGGCTACCCAGGTGACCGCTGCATTGTCCACCTTCAGGACCTAATCCACAAAGTGGAAAGGAAAGATCAGCATCAGTCACCAGCACTGTTACAAAGGGAAAAATAAACGAACAAAAGAGAAATTACTTTACTGGGCACATGGCCACTAAAAACTAAAATGGTGCAGGGGAAGGTAAGCATATGGACAGTAGAAACTAAGATAGTGACCATAAGGAGTAGCGCCTAGCCTGTAAAAAGGATTGGATTGGGTAAGGAACATAGAACCTCAGGAAATCTAGAAAATGGATTGGTTAGTGGGAGGGCTCAACACCAGCCCAAGAAGGATTGAACAGGGGGGTTATTGCTGGGAGGTTGGGGACATAAGGGGACTAAATGGTAATAGAAAATGTATATAATAAAATTATAAAAATAAATAAATAAAATAAAAGGACTTAGCTAGCTGAATGGGAACAGAGGCTGAACTAGACTAAGCTTTAACATGTACCTAACTGATGGCACAGAATTTCTGGACACTGGTCCTATTTCTGGGCCTGATGAAGACAAGGCTTGACTTTTTCCACAGCAGGTCATGTAGAGATGAGACACCTGGAACCTTGGGGCAGTCACTTATTTCAATCCCACTAAATCTTAGCACTAAACTTCAGCCTTCCATTCATGGGTCCCTGGAAGTGCTTTCCTTGCAACTCCATAAAAGGACCCCGTTTCCATTGGCAATGAAACCTTCTACCCCTACGTTGAATCTTAGCCTTCCTCACCTGTATTTGTATTATCAATTGGACATTGTAGTTCCCCAATTTTGAGTCATAATTCCTTCTTTACTGGACCTGCCCTACCTTTCAACTATCCTCCAGTATCTTTCATCTTTGAAAATAAAAATTAGAAAGCCTTTTTTTGGCCTTTCATCTATTTCTGTTTCTCCCTTCCTTCACTTCCAAACTTTTCATGAACACTGTTATTCTTACTGTCTCCATTTCCTCACTGCATAGCCATTCCACAAGTCACTTCAATGTGGCTTCCTTCTAAATTGGTTTCCAGAAAACTGCTTTCAAAAAAATTACCTGTAGATTGTTGAATCTTGCTTAAACAATTGATTAACTCCTCTTCCCTGAAACATTCTCTTTGGTTTAGTTTGTATAACAACCTCCTGGTTTATCTCATACTTCCTGACCTCCTTCTCTGACTTGTTTTTCATCCACTACCTTGACATCACTTTCAAGATTCAATCATGGGTTCCTTTTGATTTTCTTTTCTCACCTATAGTATTCTGTTCTGCCCTTTTTTCCACTTTGTTTCTCTATATCTTCAAACATGTTGATGATTACTAAATTATACCTCTAACATAAATTTTTAAAAGCTTACTTGACATACAAATTTGGGTGTCTCAAAGATATCCAAAACTCACCAAGTCCAAAATTAACTTAAGATTTTCTTCCAAAGCCGGTCTTTTTTCTAGCATCTCCTATCTCAGTGAATGGCATGTAGAGATGGACTATTCCACAAGCTAAAGACTAGAATTTTGAACATATTCTTCACTGATACTATCCATTACAAACCCAAGATCAAGACCTGTCAAATTTTCCTCTAAATTAGCTGTTGGGTCCACCTACTTCTCTATGTCTACTGTCACCATCCAAGACCAAAGTACCATATCTCTTGAATGAAATAATGAATTTGTCTCCTAATGTATTCTAGGGTTCATTGTCAAATCATTCCCTACATTGAAATTAGAGAAATATTTTCAAATATAAATCTGATCTTGCCACTCATCTGCTTGAAATGTGCCATTGGTTTCTCATTATTAATATAATAACACAAAAGCCTTAACTTGAACTATATTAGATTATAAGTTCATGAGTGATGAAACCATGCCTGTTCATTTTTTCATCACTATAGTTATAGTGTACAAGTAGCTTCCTTTATAGGTGCTCCTGGTTCAAGGACTAAATTACTTAATAAATAAGTAAATGAGTGAATGACTATAAGGTCATATATCATTTGCCTCCTTCCTCATTTTCCAGTCTCATCTGACACCCTTTCTCTCATGTGTGCCTTCTAAGCTCCAGTCACATGGTCCTTTCAGTTCTTCAAATACAACATGCAATCCTGCTCCCACTCCTCCTGAAAGACAGTGCATCCTGTGCTTCCTCACATGCTTCCGCTTACTTTCTACTCATCCTTTACATCTCAATTCAAATATTCTGTTCTCTGAGAGGTTTTCTCTAACCCTCTCCAGACATCATGGTCTCCTATTTTATGTTTTTATAGTATTTTGTTTCACCCTCACAGTGTAATTATACATTTGTGAGATATTTTGGTTAAATACTTTTCCACCCAAGTCCAATTAGTCATTTCATTTCCATGCCATGAATGAAGGGGCCATTGGCACAGAGCTTGGTATGAAGTGGTGCCAAGGAAAAATTAATTGCTAGTTTTATGAACAGAGTGATAAAGGGGTAAAAAATGAAATTTCTTTCAATCAGCCTGAGAAGAAAAGAAATCTTCCTAAAGTTGCTAACACCTGAGGTGAATTTTGATGAATGTGGACAACTCATAGCTGTAGGTGGTAGATTTCGGGTATATGAAATTGTATAAAAGTATGGCAATGTATTGGACAAAAAGTTTGGAGGGAAATTCTATGTAATATTTAATCTAGTTAGAGACATAATGGTGGGGAGTTGAAAGAATAAACAGAAAATGGAGTTAAAAAAAGAGAGAAAGTCATCTCATGGAGGACCTTTTCTATGCTAAGAATTTTATAAGTAATTTTATAAATAAAGAGAAAACAATAAAAGCATTTCCATTAGGAGGGAGACATTACTAGATATAAGCTATAGGAATATCATGCCGAATGCAATATTATGGATGGATTGGGGTAAAAAAAAAAGCAGAAGTAGAAAGAAAGGATGATACAATAGTCCAGATCAGAAGTACTAAGCATCTAAACAAAGATTGAAGCACTGAGAATGGGAAGAAGTAGCATATTCCAGAGGTTAGATAGACAGGTTTAATGAAAATTTTGTTATAAAAGAGATAATAGATGACTAGCCCAGAGTGGCACTCTGTTTTCTGACTTGAGAAAATAAATTGAATCACTAAGATGAAACACAGGCAAATGAGTAGGTTTAGTGTACATAGGCATAAGTCAAAGCTGAGATGTTCATAATCTCCACATAGATTCATCTTAGCCTATTGTAAATGAGGGGTTTGAACATATTAATAGTATCCTGGCTTAAGATAAAAAAAAAATCAGAGAGAATCAGTACATAGCTGATGTAGTCAGAAAAGTTTCAGGTTGAGATTAAAATCCTGGAAAATAGCAACTCTAAACAGGTTAAAAAGAGAGAAAGAGATATAACTGGAGGGTCTAGAAAGGCTTGAGGAAAATTAGAAGAGCATAGTGACATAGGAAAATTAAGGTGAAAATTTCAAAAGTTAGTGATCAACTTTTCAGTTAAGCAGAAGTTCAACAACATGAGAATATTAATAGCTATTAAATTTTATTAAAATGGTACCATTAGTAACCTGGACCAAAATACTTCATTGGACTGGTGACAATAGAAACCAGAATGGATTTGAGGAAGTGTAAAAGGAAGTGCTGATTATGTAGATAAGAGCCTCATCTCAAGCTTATAAGTGAAGTAAAAAGCAAGACAAAAAAGAAGTATGCTGCAGCATGCTTATTTTTTTAGGGAAAATGAAAAATTCAGAAGGAAAGTAAAATAATTGGAATAGTTAGTTCATTTATTAAGCAATTTCAATTGCTATTATAATTTTTCTTGTAACCTTAGCACATAGCTTTTATACCTATCTGTCTCCCTCTACCCCACCCTATACTGTATGAGGACAGACGAAGCATACTTTTCCACTTATACACCCTAATATTCTCTAATACAATATGGATTCTTAATAAAAAGCCCATTGAAAAAGACTCCTGAATTACTGCACCTTGGTGTTTGTGTTTGATGTTGATGGATTATTTCAAGAAGAGATTGTGAGAGGAGAACATCAATCAGTTTCAGTGTGCTAAAGAGAACACCGAAGCAAGAAAAAGGGAAGTTCTAACCAATGCTACAAATGATGGTCCCTGAGGGTTTGTGTGGCAGACTGCAAGGGGCAGAGAATGGCACAAAATGCATGTGGGAACTTGGGGGCTTACTCATGCCACTGTGTGCAGGTGCACATCAAGAGCTTGTCCTTGGTTCATGGTAAAACTCTGGGTTAGGGCTCTGACTCATAAGTCTTTTTCTCTTGCCCTAATAAGAACACAAAACAACTTTATTGTTCCTAATTATGTTGGTAAGAATTTTCTTGAATTTATTTCAGTCCAAATCATTACCAACTCCTCCATACAAAATCTCCTATCCCTGCATCAGGCTTTCCTCTCCTCCTTGACCCTTATCCTCCCCATATCCTATCCTCATTCCTGAAGAATGCCCTTCTTAGCACTTTGTCCTCTTCTGGTGTTGTTTGACATAATCTTCATTCCTGTTTATGCTCTCCCTCAAATGTCTCTTGCGGATCAATTCTCCTATGTATCTACTTCCATTCACCACATGTTGTCCATTTACTTGTGAAAAAGCTAAATCTCTATAGCCTGAAACTCATCAGCCCAAGACACTTGCCTCCAGCCAGCCAAGTCTATTAAAGTCCATTTCTTCACCATTTAGCACTGGAGAATGGAGGGAAGGGAGGCAAGGAGTGATAAAATCTGAAAAAGGAGAGAAGGAAACAGGAACATATTCCTAGATGTTCTGACAGGTGGAAGTATATACGTGAACGCAGATGGATAATGTGATACATAGAGTAAAAGTTAATGTAGGGACTCTAAAACCAGGTTGACAATATTAGCTGATATATACCTGTGTCGAGGATGCACCAAGCATTATTTTAAGTATACTACAGGCATTAATTTATTTCATAGAAGCACAACAGCAAGAGCAAAACAGTTAAGAATCTTTCTCAACTCTTCTCGTTGGTCCACTTGGAATATTCTATCCAACTCAGGACAATGTGTATTAAGAAATTCCTTGTCAAACTGAG